CTTGTTCAACAATTGTCATCTCTTCCAAACTCAGATATTTACTAAGCTTGCTGTATTATTTCAGAACATCCAAATACAGATTAGGAAGATTGTGTTGCACCAATTTTCCAAACAAAGATTTGCCTGCCTTCAAATGCCAATTTAAGTCCTTTTTAGTTGGTCTCTAAAACACCACTTCTGTTAAAGTCAATTACAAATATATCAGCTACAAGGCAAACCCTATTAAGATTTTGTAGGACATCAATCACATTAAACTAATAATGGCCTTTGAGACAAACTTGTTAAATAATCATCTCATGAATGTTGACTTCATTAACTTATGTTATACTTTGTTTACAATAATTTGACAAAGTTAGTGGGGGGGGGGAATACAACTGACATCTGTGATTGAGATAGTTGCATATTATTGCCCCTGATGCATTGTTGTCCAGATACATTTGCAGATCGACAATATTATCCAAGATGTAGTATTGCCATTATTTCTGGTGTATTCTGTAGTCTTCTTCCAACCTATGTGGTATTAATGATTAAAACTATTCAACTCCTAAGAAGGGTCACAAAATAGATTAACTGAAACACTAGGTTTAAAACTAATATGAAGCTACCCAGTCACAAAATAGCAAATTTTACGGTTAAAAAAAAATTTTTTTTTTTTTTTTTTTACACAACTGTATCTTTAAGTTAAATATATGTGAGAAAATGATATATAAAATTTTATAAACCAGAAAATTAATCACAAAATGCAAAAGTGATCTAGCAATTAAAGCACTTTCTATATGCTTCTGTTTTAGTAAATTGTTTTCTCGATTAAAGTAGCATTTAAAAAAAAAAAAAAAAAAAAAAATCTCAAAATTAAGTCCAGACTTATAGTTACTAATGAACCAAGTGAGTTTTATAAAAAAAAGAAAAAAAAAATAATAATCCCTTTTGTATTCATATAACTTTATTTAAATGCCTCAATGCTATTTCACCTTTATAAACAATAATTTGAATCTGAACCTTTTCAGAGTATTTTGCCTAAAACATTTGATATATTAATGTTCTATTAATATATCTCTGCAAAACTACATTACCTGACCTAAACAATGTTAATCCTACAATAGAATTAAATTACTAAACAAGCACAAATAAGACTTTACCTTTTCTAGATGTTACACCATACTGACAATGACCTAAAACTAAATGTCCATCAGAAATCAACTAACGACCTCAAACTTCTATTCTTAACATATAAAAAAAAAAAAAAAAAAAGCCAGAATAATTATTAGATTCTATTTAAGTACACTTAGAATTTGTAGGCCTCAATATTTACAGGAGAAATATATTGAAAATAGTTTTAAACTCCAATAACCTAATTATTTCATATTAAAAACAACAGAGAAGGCTCATGAAATATTTCAAAACAGAGTTAACTATTTTGGCAAATCCAATGAATTAAAATATATTCTATCTACCAATTATCACAGCTACAATTGAAAGGAATTTATCTAAGGTTAATATAAAATTTGTTACAACTAATAAAACAAGACGTAATATAAAACAATAATAATCTAAAACTTGGAGGAAATGAGTTTATCACCTGTAATAATCATCATAAGGAATGCATAGGCGAAACATTGAGGAATTTAAATAAGGGATTTTATATGAACACAAAAGGAATCTTTTAAAGAACAATGCATTAGTTGTTCAAAATTTTAATTTTAAAAAAATGCTACTTTAATTAAAAAAGAAAAGTAATTTATCAACATGAAAATGCTTTAATTTGTAGATCAACAATTGTAAATTTACAGATTGACATTTCCCCTTTCTTAGCAATTCTTCTATTAACACAATGTGGTGAGCAGATGTAGTTAGATGAATGTAAATATCACTTTAGTCATATCACTACAAACAATATTAATTATCGCATATTTTAATAAAAATTAAGGTAATCTAACTGGTTCTTCGTGTTTGAGAGCAAGTGCCATAAAAACAATCTTTCTACCCACACTGTCTTAAGATAAACTTAGTAAATATGAAAAAAATAAAATACTATATTCAGTAAAAGTCAATACATTTTTTTCTTTTTTTAATTAGGATGAGGATTTTGTCTCTGCATACTCAAGTTGACAAATTTATAATCAATGGAGACCATAAAATTAGTTCCAGACAATATGACAGCCAAAGAAAAATTATATACCTCCCACTTCAACTGGAAGTGACATATTAGTAAAATTAGAGGCAAAAAAGACAAGTCTAATTATAGGAAATAGTTGAGCTAATCGCAAATCCTAGGGGAAGCAATTCTGCTTTGACAAGAGTTGAACAATTCAAAATCTTAAATTCGTTATATATATATATATATATATATATATATATATATATATATATATATAATTATAACTGAATGCTAGAGCATTTTAGTTTTGAGTATCTTGCTGGATGCTTTTACAAGCAGGTTGAAAAGTAACAACTATATCCAATCTGATACTTACGATGGAAATACCTGTTTAGCCAAATCCAGAATTATTGAACTCAAATAACATACAGCAAGTAGAGTATTTTTTTTAATCCGCCCATTTTCCATGGTTTTTGCATTTTAATTTTTCCATCACCTTGGTTAAAGATCTTGTAAGAACATGTCAAATGCTCAATGCCTTTTCAGAGAAACTTAACTGTAAACAAATTCTGTAATTAAAGACTGCATCATCATCAAATTATTGACATTTGTTTTTTTTCAACTTTCTAAGGGAATAAAAGATAAAAAGATCAGGATATCTCATCTCAGAAAGACAAATTTGGAATAGAAATGAAAACAAAAACGTTTAAAAGTTAAAAAAAGATTGTGATAATCAAGAGACATTCTAATATTTGGATTAAAACTATCACAATTCCTAGTTTAATTTTTTTTTTCTGTCTTTATTTAGCTTGATACTTTACAAGGTAATGTATTAAGGGGTGCTGAGAAGTCCTCGACCCAGTCTACTTCCCTAATTCTGACCAAACAAGGATTTTTTTTTTTTTTTGCAATACATTTTTGATTAGGCCAAGAAATTTTCAGCATCTCACCAACCTCATAAGCCAAGTTCTAACATTTAAATTATTGGTTAGTCTCAAGTATGCTATCATGAAAGGCAAAACATTAGATATTGTTTGGTTTGGAGTCTGGCATATGATTTAAAGAGTAGAGATTTTCTTCAAAAGAGCATAAATAACAGAATTTCATAAACTTCAAAACGATGTTTTGCAAAAAATAAAAAATTAAAAAATTTTTTGTTATAGTAAAAATGTTTATTTTTGTAACTAATTTTCTAATGATGGAAATCTTGTATGAATCTTGTTCAACAGAAACATTGCTCAACGTTTTTTTTTTTTTCTTTTGACAAAGGAAAAAAAAAATGAATAGGAATCCTTTAAAATTTCAAAGAAAAGAAGGGAAAAAAAAAATTGAGAAAGTAGTTGGTGGTGTCATATTACATTTGACAGACAGACAGACTACAGCCACCACCAATCACTGGAGGAAAAAAAAAAAAAAAAAAAAAAGAATAGCTTACATTGAGTGGGGAGCAATTGAAACTATCAAAATTTGATGAGGTGTGGAACAACTAGAGAGGAAAGCAGCCATATAGTTTCCATGGTTACTTCAGGAGACAGCATTCAGTTTTAAAATGGCTGAATGAAAATATATAAGTAGAAATCTATGGTGGTCATATTCCCTTGTGTGGTGGTTTACAGAAAAAAAAATTTTGACCCTCAGATGATAGGCTCTGCTGTATATTACAAAGAAAAAAAAAAATGAAGAGAGTGAAATGATTTAGAGAAAAAGGTTTTCTGATTTTGAGTTTAAAAACAGGAGGTAAGACCAATGACGTGTTGCAAAAATATTTAGTGTGTGTGTGTGTGTGTGTGTGTGTGAGAGTGAGAGAGAGAAAGAGAGACATTGAGGAATGAAAGATAAAATGAAGGAGGGAGATGTGCAAAGTAAAAAAAAGCTATTTTACAAATTCTTTCAGCATTCCCCCCAAGCCAACCTCCCCCCCAACAAAACCCAAAGGAAAATAAAATACTCTGCTTTACTGAGGTCAAATCCTATTAATAAATAAAAAAAAAAAAAAATAAAAAATAAAAAAAAGTTATTCTATATTTTACAGGCAAAATAAGACTGGACATTTTTTTAATGACTGTAGTTTCGTGTAAACAAGGGAGATAATTAAACACTCCCTTGGATGACCTGAATGACGAAATAAGGAAATGTATATTCACTATTTAGATGACCTCTGAAAACCAGCTGTTCTGTTGTGTTTAGAGGAATGTGGTCAGGTATGGGTTGTGGGGAAAGGAGCCAAATATCAATAATCCTTTTTTTTTTCTTTTTTTTTTTTTCTCTTCAATATTATTCACAATAAAAAATAATTATCAAGTCATCAACAAGAATCCAAATGCCTTTTCTTTTTTTTTTGGGAAAATATAATTCAAATTGTTTTTAAGAAATTTTTTTTTTTTTTGTGCTGTCCATTTCTTTTTTTTTTTCTTTTTTTTTTTATTGCCTGTTCCAAGATGAAAGTTCAGCAGGAAAATAAATACACATATTTTAATTAGATATTGTGCCTTCTGTGTTTTATGTTCTTACTTTACGGATATGTTTTCTTTTGAAAGTTTTCTGGATTTAGATTAAAATTAAAGGAAGAAAAAAAAAAAAAACTTCACCTGTTCACTGCCAAAACTGAAAAATGTGTGCCAGAGGGAAGATTTTTTCTTCCTCCTCCAAATAAAGAAAAACAGGATGGAGAAAAAAAAAAAAAAAAAAAATATATAGAAAAACAAAAGGTTTTTAAAAACCTGATGAACATATTTCTTTTCCTAAAATATGAAAGAAAATATAGAGAAAATTCCCAGAATGTAATATGAAGAAAAAAAATGTAAAGGCAAAACTCATGAATAAATAATGTGTGTGTGTGTGTGTGTGTGTGTGTGTGTGTAGCAGCTGAGAATGTTGTGGGTGGAAGGATAAGGGTGACGTCTCAATGTTCCATTCTATTAGTATCTCCATCTCTACCATCAGTTGACATGGACTCTGATTTGGTTAATTCCATATCTACAAAAACAAAAAGGGAATAAAAAAAATATTGCAACATACAAAAGATTGAGTAAATTAGCAGACTACTTTGAATAACAAGATGTTTAAAGTAAAATATATTATAAGCTATTTTCAATATCTTGAGAAATTGATGAATTTAGACAAGATAGCTAATGTAGTTTGCCTAAGATGGTTTCAGCAAAACTTTGATAAATGAGAAACTCAAATACATAAATTAAATTTGAAAACAAGTTAAAACAACCAAAAAGTTTTTAGCTGGTCTGAAATAGACCATCTGGTTCATTTTTGTCTTCTGGCAAATTTTATGAGCATTTTTATGTTTAAAAAAAATAAAATAAATAAATAAATAAAAAAAATAAAAATAAAAATTACATGTTCTATACAAATTTTACTAATTACTTCAGGAATGATGAAAGGCAAAGGTGCTCGCAAGTTGTAGTAAAAACAGATTCAATTATTGGCCTGATTATAATTGGTCTTGTAATTTGACAACTGGTTACATAGTCAAGTAAATAATGGTGTAAGATTTGAATATATTTGTTTCAACCATGCTATCATCTACTCAGGTTATTTAGTCAAGATCATAAAATTTGTAATGAATTCTGATACACAGTACAAAATGTTACTTTTCCCACCTGCATCAATATGTAGCATTACACACCAATTCATACAACAGTAAATTTCTCAATTTCTTTGTTTGTTTATTCATTAAGTTTCATCCATCCAACAGTTTTACAATTGAAGTCAAAGTATTTTCTCCTCTTTTTAATTTTGAAAGACAACTGATGTTCCAGTGCAGGGACCAACAAATTATATATATATATATATATATATATATATATAAACTTACAAAAGACATACTGTTATAACAAGTAGCTCATGTAAACCAGTCATTTCACTATAATAGCCAACATTGGTGACAAGAGGAAACAGAATAGTCAGCAAATTGTTTAAAATACATAAGAAATAAATGTTCTATACGATATTTAGAATATGAGCAGACAACGCGCGCGCATTGATTTCTGTATATCGTAAAGTGATTTGATTTGTTGCACAATATCCGTAAAAGATAATCTAACGAGGGGTCTAAGAGAGATAACTACAAGGTCCAGTTATTACTAATTACAAGTAGTCTCCCTTGGCATCTATACCCGTTAACCATAATAGTACACCAGTGACAATACATTAATGTTAATTTAGGAATATTTATTTTTCATAAATTTTAATAATATTGATTCTATAAATATGAAATGATTAACATCAAGCAGAGTCCACCGAAAGCAGCATGTAAGAGAGTAATATCAATAATTCAAAAACTTAATCATTTAATGACATGCAAAATAATTTAAAATGTTTATACCAAAAAAATACATTTTTATCTTTCTCAGATTTGTAATCAACAACCGAGTTGAATCTTACATAATAAAATTAAAAATATAATTTATGACAATATTTTTGTCCTAATATCAATTAGATTGCTGCACCTTTGTATCATGAAACAGAATCAGCTGATATTAGTTTAGCTTTTTCATCGGATTAAGAAAATTTTTCATTTTAACATTAAATGTTAAAAGTGGATTTTTATGTTTAACCACAGAATTAAGATGTAAAATTTGCTTGAGCAAATTTCATCCCATTTTATGCATTTTATTGAAAAAAAATTATTGACACAATAGCGCTATTGTATAAATTTATAACTAAAAATTTTACTATAGAAATTCACTGAAAGGATTGTCTGGTCAAGCCTTACTGGTAGATAGATTATATGAAATATAAACACGTGTTGACAGTCAAAGCAGTTGGTGATATAGATATAAGAACAAGGGTAGAAGTTTAATTTGTAGATTTTCTTAAAAATAAATAAAATTTAACTAGTAAAAAGCCACATCTGTTAAAAAAATCTAAAATGCCCTTTTAACTGTGCAAATACCACCATTTACTTTTAAGTGGAATTCAAGACAATTCTAAATCAACCTTGAAATACATTTAAAGAAAAAATAAATTATTTCAAGAAAAATAAGAACTAGTGCAAAAGCTAAAATAAGATTTAAGTAAATTTGTCAACAATTAATTCTTATTTCAAATTATCTGACCACTTCCCATACTATGGTTGTAGTGTTCTTCCCACACCTCTTAATTCATTGGCCCAGGTCTTGAAAGGTAGAGATAAATAGATGCCCTTCAAGTGTAGATGTTTAAATACTGACTGACTGCTATAGTAAATGATAATGTATATAAAATTATGTTGAAAACCACAATAACCTGGCACACAAAACACACGACTAAAATACATGCTATGCCTTCATTCAACCAGGTTTCACATATGTCCTTTGAAAACACAATTACAAAACAGGTACCATAGCAATTTCCAAAGATTTATATAGTGACTAGTCATTTTTATATGTGGGATTAATATATTTATGCAGCTACGTTTTGGCCCAAGAATGAACTTAAAAACTTTAAAGAGTTAAACCTTTTCGGCCCATCTACCACAGAACCAATGGCTTATCCTCAACTCAAGATAGCACTTTTCCAAGCACCAAGTCAATAAGATACAATGTAAGCAAAGCATATATTTTGAAAGCATAAACAAAACAAGTTAATATAAAAACATTAGAATATTTAATTTTTTTTAAAATGAAATATTGTTTAAAATGCTCAGATTATCATTCTATGGCCATAAAGATGAGATTTGCTTTGTTTCTGAGTGCTACTTACAAACAACTGTAGAATTAAGCTGTAAAGGAGAGAGGGAGGGGAAGAGATGAAAGAAAATAAGGCAAATAATAAAAGCCATTAGAATCAATTTGTGAAAGAAATGTTATTTTTAACATAATCATGACCCATAATACTAAAAACTTTCAAACTAGGCCTATCAAAATTGATAAGGGAGATAGTTAAAAGTTATGAGAAAGTAGTTCAAGTCTTCACATACCATTGACAAGATATATTTTATCAAGATGTTTGAAATGTCTTTCATGGATATTAATCAAATGTCAACAACCTAAACCAGAATATTAAATGTTTACAAATTCTACTTTAATAAACATCTCCTTTAAATATTTATAGAAAATAATAATCTCAAGTGTAGGTTTAAAAAAATAAAAAAAGAGCACATGACCATTATAGAATCATCCATTTACAAGCAGATGAAATATGGCCACTGCAACAATTTTCATACTTCTAACCAAACCATACATAAAGAGAACATCACTTATCAATAAAAGCTTCTTCACATCTGTGCAAAATACAAATAACAAAACCCTGTAAGTTCTTGACTATATAAAGAATTTAAAAATCCAAAAATAAAAAGAAACAAGAAAAATATATATTTTCTTAGTTGAAAAGCAGTCTTAACAAATTGGCAAGTTAAATCTCAAATTACATACCATTTCAAGTTAACCCAATATTCAAATTATTAATGGGCACAAAATTTTAAGTTTGCCTGAAAATTGGTGGAATCGTTCCTAGCAAGAATGGAGAAAAAAAAAAAACACTAAATATTTTATCAGTTAAAAACATAAAAGCATTCAAATTGTTGTTTTCACAAATTAAGTAATATTAAAGAATCAATTTAGCAGAATTTAGGTTTTCATTCATTTTTAAAAAACACATTACATTATAATTTAAACTGGTTTTCCATGCAACATGCAACATGTGGAAGCATAATCAATATTATTTGCTTATATACTTGAACCATCTTTTGACATTGAGCACTCATGCTCTTACTATTTCTAAGCGTTTGTACTTTATTTTATTATATATATATTTTAATATTCCACTCCAAGCAAGACAATAATGTCCCACTATGATGCAAGGGGTTACTGGGAATAAAAGAAAATGAGAAGACTTAAGTGAGGAGAAAGGACAAAAGATAGTGATTGGCATTGCATTTAAATTTTTAAAAGATTGTTAAGTGGGAGGGATACAAGAAAGTGGAAGAGTTCCACAGGTGAGAAAAACTACTATTAGAACTTAGGGTTACATCTAGCTAGTTCAATGGTAAAACCTAGTTACCAATCTAGTAGTAGATTTAAATTCATTCGGTTGAGGTTCCAAGGAGGAAAGCTTATCAGAACCATTACCATAAAAATATTTATAGAAAAGAGAAGAGGGAAGCCATATCACAGCAGTGGAAAAGTGATTTTGTCGAGATGCCAAAATTACAGACATTTGTTTGGATTTGAATCTTAGCAGGAGCAATAGACTAAATATGGCAGTGATATTCAATTCAATACACATACAAATGGTAGATTTATAAATGTGCAAGATGGATTCTGACAAGAAAATTGTCAGACATAACACTGAATTAATTTTCCCAACAGTAAACCTAGGAATTGATTTAATATAATCACTCCAATTTATGTCAGTGGAAAATGTGAGCCCAAGAAGACAGAAAGAGTTGCTCTACTGGAGGTTAGTATCAGCCATGCTGATAGAATGTAGAAAAGGTTCCCTATGGTGATTAAATGATAGTTTTGTTTTGGAGCCGTTAAAATTTGCAAACCATTCCTTATTTCAGTTAACCACTGATTGAGGGTCATTTTCAAGAGCTGCTGCAGCTTTGCTTTGTCAGACCGAACAGGAGTAGATGTGTCATCAGTATAAATACCTAGTTGAGAACTGATGGCATCAAGAATGACATGGATAAAGATAAGAAACAACGTAGGTCCAAGGATAGAGCTGTGTGTGTGTGTGTGTGTGTGTGTGTGTGTGTGTGTGTTATATTAGTGTCCATTCTATTTCAGCCACAATTTCTTTTACATGCAATTCAAGTTGAAATGCTTTCACATTATTATTTTTAAAAGGCATTTGTTTTTGTTTTTTTAAACTGAAATCATAACTGATGTCTAATCTATTCCATGATGAAGACATTAAAACAGGGAGTGGGGGGGAGATGTTTTACAAATAAATTTCATGTTAAATAAACTCAATTTAACATACTGGCATTTTTAGCTTCAGGTACTTTTTAAAAGCTAACTTTTTAATCCAAAATT